TTTAAAAAGTGTTCACACAGGATGCATTTTTTCTATTTGAAAACACCTAAACAAAGCCCAACATAAAATAATGCAGGGGGTCACAAGGTGAATTTGCAAGATCAATTTTTAACTTGGCATTGTTTTAACGAGGTTCCTGCGTTCCAACGTAAATGTTAAAAGGACAAAGACAGATATTAGATAAGCCTATAGATAGATACTCAACTAATATCAACTACAAAGAAAAATAACAGACTTTGCTCACAGCAGATGACTTGAAGTTTGACAATAATTATACTGTAAGTACAGATGTTTCTGTTTCATTTTAAAAATGAACACTAGAGTTGGAAGGGCAAATATTTCCATTCACATCCAAATAACAAAAATACATACAACACAAAAATGGAGTGATGTTTATTCAGAACAAATTATGATGTTGATAATATTACATGAACTAAATGAAATCCCTTCTAGCTTCACCAACAACCTACAGACAGACATAGAGCGAACTATTGTGGAGGTCAAAGAAGAGAGCTAATGGTGTCATGTGGACAGAGATGGACTTTGCGCAGGTGGAGGTCTGCTCATGAGTGGATGCTCTGACTCCAGCTACAAAAAATCTCTGCTTTAATGAACAGCTGGGTCACAAATGCTTGGCACTTTCATATTTCTTAATGATAATAATCATTACAGCGTAAGCATGTTTCCCCAAAGTCGGCGGAGTTTGCAGACACCGGCAGGCAACGCTGCCATTAAGAAGCAAGAGGAGTCTTCATCAGAGAGGTTCAGATGCTCAAAGAAAATGACTCTAATCACTAATGAGATCAAACTGCAATTAACACTTCATGCTCTTAATGATGGGAAATGCTGAGCATGCCACGCTGGTGAACCTTGAAAATGACTTTAAGTTCTAAATGATTTCCCAAATGAACATACACTTTTTCCACAGTAATGTTTTGTTCTGTGGAATGTTTGTCTAGATACGTGTTTCAGAAGTGAATATTTTAAGATGAAAGATATTATAACAACAAAGGCCTTTGGAAATTCTAAACCCAATCAAAATGTTTATTGCAGTAAAGAGGTGGAAGGTGTGAGCTATCGTGTGATATATCAATGATTCATCAATAAATGAAAGTTATTACTTAAATTATTCTAAATTTATTAAAACATTTAAAACCACTTACAGCCATACATACACAAAAATCCTACAGAATGCATTATATATGCTATCTACACAAACACACACGATAGATAGATAGATAGATAGATAGATATGTCTGCTCAATAAAACACACACACACACACACTAATAATAAACACATACACAAAAATCCTACAGAATGCATTATATATGCTATCTACACAAACACACACGATAGATAGATAGATAGATATGTCTGCTCAATAAAACACACACACACACACACTAATAATAAAATGTGTCTAAATATGTCTGCTCAATAAAACACACACAAACACAAACATTGGATAAACCTTTCACGTCAACACATAAAAGATCTGAGCTCCTTGTGTATCCCCCTCACTGTATTTCACACAAACCTTTGTCTTGTGAGTACAGCTGTCAGTGTGGGCATATCACAGGCCATTACCTGCAGCATCCACATTCATTATTGAAGCTAATGACCTGTTGTCCTCCATGCACCTCAGTGAAGGAGGACTACATTAGAAATCTCTCAAGTTAATTAGTAATTAGAAACGTAAAAAATTAATCATAGAAAGAGAGTGTTTAAGGTTTGAGTCTCAAGGTGTCTGTGTGGGGTGGGGAGAGGTGCGAGGCAACATGGGTAATGAAATGCTGATGGTCCTCTTTCAAGAGCATTTCAACACCACCAACAAAAACCTCTACAAAAAATCAGAAACTAAATATTTTGAAACAGTGTTCAAACTATGTATAATTACTGTATGTACACAGTGTTCAATGGTGGAACTGATAATAATGTAACTAAACTTTTGACTAAAATTTATGACAGTTGTCTTTTAACACATTTAGAAAAAATTGCTTGGTTGAAAATGATGCACAGTAAAGATATTTTAGTGACTGAGTTATATGATAATAACCTTCTATGCTGCTGCTGTTGTGGCAGAGCAAGTACCGACACTTACTACTGCCAATACATCCACAGACATGCTGCTGTGAGCATGTAAGAAATACTGCTGCTGCACATATAACATATATGAAATCACCCCATATATAACATACATGAAATCAGCCCGTAGCAGATCTGTACAGGTGGAGCTGGGGAAGGTGGAGGGTTTCAACTATCACAGCAAGCACTAGCTGAGTATTTGAATGTTGAACAGCAAGCTCATTAGCTGCTGATGTGAAAAGAAACCAGTCAGCTGTGTCATGTGAATGATGATGTAATTATATCAGATTATATCAGTTAGAACCTATTGGCCTGCGCCATCTAGAGTTTCATGATAGAACTTTGTATTTATTTTAGTTAAAAGTCTACATCTGGAACAAGGTTAAACAATAAAATCTCTGTCAGAAGAAACAAAGAACGCTGAGCCACTTTAAAAAAGTGCTAGTGGCTAAGATAATAGGTGAAGAGAAAATTCTTAACAAAATACTGGCATCTATCTATCTTTCTATCTATAATGGTGATATGGTTTGTATAAAAATATTTGCTTACAATACTGTACATATATGCATGTACAAACTGATATCGATGTTTGTTACAAGCCAACTGCACCGTTCCAACTCAACTTGACAGATATAAAAAAAGCATTAGCATAAAAACAATCATAATAAAGACTAAGTTGCTTTAATAAACATTCTGGTATATCTGAATATAAAGCTCCATGGAGTATTCAGATGATGTTCATCTCAAGGTGTTGATTTATTTTATAGATAGGACAGTTTTAAACCATGGTGCAGATCTGGCATGTGCCCACTGTTTTGAAGCACCTGAATCTTATTAGAACACTCTGGAACACTCCACAGGGTTCCATGACTGCAGCCAGAGGGCATCATGAAGGACTTCAATGAGAGAGTTCACTAATCAGCATCCTGTTCACCAGCAGAGCCCAGGGGGCCAAAAGCAATAAGAAAAACAAGAGAAACCAAACTGAGCCAAGCTCCAGAAATGCCACAAACACAGAGACCCCTACAAATATATAGAATACATATCAAGCCATGTGTAACAGTTGCTGTGTGTCCTTGTGAAAGAAAAAAAACACTTCAGCACAGATTTAAAGAGGGCATTTATTATGGAAATATTATACTGTACTTTAAAATAATATGAATGAATAAGAACTGAATGTAATGTTTTCGGACACTGAAGTGCATGTTTACTATTATACATTTTTTATGTTAGTAAAAATGTATTACAGTTTAAATATTTATTAAATGCAGTTAGCTGAAAATAAGATGGTGTATTAAGATACACCACTGCTCTGTTTATCCACTCCCTCTTCTTTATTCAGAAGATTTTCTCCTCTCTCCTTTCAGCATGACTTCAGCCCACAGCGCTGCTTCACACAGAGTGGCCTGCTGGACAACAAATGTGCATCCTAAACTGCTCCAAGCCTGCACCAACTGCTCTCTGCCATCCACCTCACCCACCTTCCTCTGGCTGTGCCGCCCAGGCCATTCGCTCCCCGCTGTCCATCGGAGCGACACAAGGCTGGATGTGTTTGCTGCCTGAGCGTGAGCCACTGTAATCAGCCACCCCCACTTCATGCCACATGCAGGATGCCCATGTGTGACCGTCCTTGAGAAGGTGGCCCACCAACTTGGCGAAAGCTTTAGAGGATGATGGAAATTTGCCCTCTTTCCTTTTGGCTGATCTCATATAATCAGAAATACGTTGGGGTTATGTTGACAAATCAAATGTTATTGGCTGGATCATGCAAGTAAGTCAAACCATCAGTCTCCTCATTGGTGCAGAAGCCTTTCTACATCTTCAACAAAAGACTAGCCAACTAAACAGCAAATCTGGATTTGGGCCGTTCAAGCTATGAGTTTCTATCTGCAGGTGTCTCAGGGCTCCTGTGGCCAAGACCAGTCCCTACTGTCCAGTTCACACCTACCTCCACCTCCTTACCTTATCTGATTGCCTTCTGGAAGATGTCTCTGTGGAAATCAGCAATATTAATGACCGTGAATCAAATCTCCCTTTCTACATTTACGAACCACAAGGCCAGGTTACAAGGACCTACTGGCTTTTGTGCTCATGTTTAATAGCATGCCATTCTCTACATATTTAGAGTTATCGATGGCAATAAAGCAGAGACACGTGCTTAGAAACAACACCCAGAAGAGCATAGCGTCTGCTCCATTACATAGCCTAATAACACTGACAGCTGAGCACAGATAACCCCCGGCCCCCTGTTTCTCTGCATCTTTACAGATGGCCATTAACAGGAGAAAGTGTGCCCTTTTTCCAAGGGAAAAGATATTTAAAGCTTCTCAAATCAGGCCTTTGTTTTTTCTCTTTGCAGTTTTGGCACATGCTGGTTGAGTGGGAATTACTGTCCAGATTTACACAAACTTGTTGGGAGACTGCAACAGAACCTGCTTCAGTAGAACCAATTGAAAATTGAAAGCTTCTATATCTATTGAAAAAAATGGAACATGCTTCTCTCAAGCACAGAGGCAATTCTGTTCTGACACATTTTCTTTCCATAAAACACACCAAATCATGAATAAGAATGAATAAGCGTAATGAATAAAGAACAGGAGAGAAGATAACCGCATACTGTAGACCCTGACTAATTATGTTAATTTCCTGACATAAAGCATACCACCCTGAAACTTTGTTCTCTGTAACATTCTTACCAAATGCTCAAACTGAATTTCACCGCATTTCAACCCTGATTTAGCCTTGACTGTATACAAGAGACATATTCCAGTAATATTATTAAAGGTGTAATAAATAAAAGGAACCAAGTGGGAAACAAGTTACATGGTCACACTTGACAGCAATACCCAAAATTGACATTGACTTAAACAAATGTTTAACCATTTCTTACAGATCCAATTAAAACAGTCTTACCTAGCATATGATTGGCCACATGGATCTGAATGTCCCATTTACTGTAGAAGACCATCTGACACTTGATGCACTGGTAAGTCTTCTTCTAAACAGTGGGAAAAAATAAATTCCAAGTAGAAATTAATAGTGTTGGACAATGATGCTGAAACAAGAAAATACACGTGCCTTGTACTCTTGTACATGTCCCTTATAAAAGTGTTTTTTCACTCCTCTTGGTAACACTTTATTCTGATGGTCCCCTGAGACCACCAAGCAGAGTTAGTTGACATGCAGTTGCAAAGATACGTCTAGTCAACAGAATGTCTAAATGGGACCATCACAACAAAGTGTATCCCTCCTTTTTAATCATGTAAATGGTACTACCCAATAAAAATCCTTAGCAACAATAACTATCACTATTAATGTACTGACGGCAAATGTACTGAGCATGCACTGTATGATTGCTGTAAGCCACATCTTACCTCGTCACTTTGGCTTGGGCTAACTCGTGACATGGGGGAGCCATCGGGGGTCCGTAAAAGAGCAGCTTCTGGTGTTTGGTCTCTGTGCACTGTCTGCAGGTGTGCTTGAAGCTCTGCCTCTGACTCGAATTTAACATTGCAACTGGAACAGCGGGTCTTGAAAATAGAGGGTGATACTGATGAAGATGATGAGGAAGAATAGACAGCCTTTCCCTTCACAGGACCAGGGCTAAGGCTCTCCCCTTGGGTCCATCCAGCAGCAGGACCCATTGGGGCTTGAGCTCCTTGGTGCAACAGTTTCCCTCCATTTAGAGTAAAGCTCTTGCTACCAGCAGTATTGACACACAGCGTGCAAAGACCATATGTCAAACCATTAATGTCAAGTTTTACTAAGTCCTGCTTAGAGTGGAACTCTTTGAGACATGCAGCACACTTGACGACTTTCTGACTTTGACTGTGTTGAAATTCTGTGGCAGCTGAGTATGCAGTTGGTTGATTTGTAGATGCCGCTCCAGTCTTTTGCATGTGAAAGGTACCGTGGATCTTGAGTTCTAGAGTTGAGGTGACAGTCTGCATGCAGACCACACAGCGGAAGCCAGTCAAAGAATTGCGCAAATCTGGATGCATCTGACAATGCTCCAGGAAGTCTGCCTCACTCTGCAGAGGTAATTTGCAGATCCGACAGCTTCCAGTGTCCAGGCTTTTGCTGTGAGTGACCTTGTGTTCTGTCAGAGTAAGTAGGGAAGGGAAGCGCTCTCCACAAATGGGACACATGTAGTGTTTAACAGGTCCTAAGTGCGTTTGCATGTGCTCCCGAAGTCCTCCCTCCGAGAAGAATGTTCTAGAGCAGACGTTGCATTTGTGGTTTCCCTTCATCATTTCTGCCTTTCTTTTGTGGATAGCACTCTCTCCTGGTCGAATGTTATGGTCACGAAATTGGTGATTGGTTAGGAGGGACTCCATGGTATAGGACGCACCACAGATGTCACAGCTATACATGACCTCTGAGGTATCAAAGTCTTCTTCGCTGCCATCCCGACTGTTGTGAGACTCCCCCGCTCCAGTGCCTCCGTGGCTGTTGGTCAGAAAGGCCTGTAAGTCTCCATCATCTTTGGCAACTGAATCACCGCTACCAGACATGGATCCATTGGTGTTGCAATTCTGGGTCTTTCCCTCAGACACACAGTGCTTTTCACAAAGGTGACGTTCAAGCAGATAAACAGCATGGAAGGCTTTACTGCAAAAGTGACAATTGTACTTCTTGCTATGGGTGGTAATATGACACTGCAGCTCTACTTCTGTACCAAAGGACTCACCACAAAAGATGCAACGGTGTGAACAACCCTGATTTTCAAGGTGACTATGTTTGACATGCATTTGAAGGTCAGCCTCATGCCTGAAATCCCAGTTGCAAGAAGTACATCGGTATACCTTTTTCTCATTACTGTGCTTCACCGCAAGATGGAGTTGAGTTGACACTTTAGAGTCAAACACTTCCTGGCAAAGAGTACAGCGAAAAAACACAAAGGTGTGCATATCCAGAAGGTGCTTCTGCAAGTCATCCACAGATGTGAATTGCTTGTCACAGCTTTCACAGATATAGTATGTGGACATGATGGTGAAATGAACAGTCACATGTTTCAGAAGAGACTCCTGGTTAGGAAAGTCATTGTTGCACTGTGGACAGGTTAGCTGTGGCACGATGCCATCAAGGTGGGTCTTCAGGTGTGTCTGGAAAAGGTCTAAGCTGGTGTACTTAGCACCACACTGGTTACAAATGAACTCACTTGAACATAAGGAAGTGCTGTTCTGTTTGAATAGTGAAGCCTGTTCTACAGAGACTGGAGATGATGGGCTGAGGACTCGCAGAGATCTTCTCCCATTGTTGATATAATTCAGAGCAAGAGGGATGTTCTTGTGGTTCTCCTTTATGTGCTTGTTAAGCTTCATGACACTGTTAAAAATGGGGGAGTTGGTACAGTAAGAGCAGGAGTAGATCTCCACAATGGGATCTTTTGGAGTGACCGCTAGAGGAGAATCAAACTGCACGCTTCCAGAGTCACAATGAGTCTGTCTGACATGTTCTTCTAGAGTGGCCTCAGTCAAAAATCCCATAAAGCACTTGGGGCAAAAGAATGCATTGCTTTCTTTGGTGACTGGATTAGGAAAGCCATGGGAGCATCGTATGTGCTCTTGCAGAGCATTAAGATCTCCAAGCACCTCTGGGCAGAAATTGCACTGCAACAGGTCATCTGACAGGTTAGCCAGTACATCTGCGGGATTCTTGGCATTGTGGATCTGTTTCAGGTGCTCGTTCAAATTACAAAGCGATGGAAGGATTTCCAGGCAAAATTGGCAAGTATGAGCCTGCTCTGGCTTGTCAACATGTTTGGTCTTAAGATGAATCTGCAGCACAGCAAGGCTTGAGAAAACTTGTTTGTTACAGTAAATGCAGCTGTATTCGATTTTTGGCTGTTTGGCAGATCGCCTATACATGTTATTATGAGTGGCCCTCTTTCTTCTCCCGTGTGTCTTGGGCACTGTAGAAGCGGCTTCCACCATGGTCGAACTGTCAACAGAAAGATTAGAGTCTGGTGTAGTGCTTGAAACAGAAGTATAACCTACGGGCAACACAGAGGGGCTATTGCTGGACTCTGGAAGTTGGTGGATTTCCATGTGAGTGTACAGCTCCTCTACAGTGGGGAATTGCTCAGAGCACACAGTGCATGTGTTAATCTTTCTATCTCTCCCATGCACCTGATCAATGTGGCTCAGAAGCGTTCCTTCATCACCAAATGGCTCGTGGCAGTAGATGCACTGTAGACCAGGTTCAAGACTCCCTCCTACAGGAGAAGAGCACTCTGGGTGGCTTTCTGCAATGTGCTTCTGCAGTTCCTCAGGCATGTTGAAACCCTCTTCACAGCGGCTGCATTTGCGCGTCTCTTTTAACCTCCACTCTTGAGGGGACCTTGTATTCGCTCCATCCTTCCCACGTTCATGCACCTGCATGTGTCCATGAAGCGAGTTGGTGGACAAGAACCCTCGGTGGCACACTGGGCATTTATGGGGCTTGTTGGCAGCGTGCGCTTTCATATGGATCTTTAGGTGGTCACTGCGTGAGAAAGCAGAGTCACAGTCTCCACAGTGGTACTTTTTGTCACCAGTGTGAAGCTTGATGTGTCGGTCACGGCTGCGCTTGTGCTTGAACAAGTGACTGCAGTATGTGCAGCTGAAGGGAAGTTTATCTCTGTGACTCTGCTCGTGGCACTTAAGGAAGCTCAGGCGACTGAAGGATTTTGCACAAAACTGGCATGGGTAGGGTAGGCCTGCACCTCCTTTATCCTCACCATATTCATAGTCATCGACATGGCCTGGAGAAGTGTGGTCTTTACTAGATGGCGACGATGTAGGCCAAGAGCAGGATGGGTCATCTTCTATATCAGTTCCATCTGTCAAAAACACCCAGAAGATAAGACAGAATGCATTACCTTTTTACTGTTTGGTGGTACACAGATACAACAAGATGTCTGTCTTCTAACAAACTGTATTTGTGAGACATCTCTCCGTTCATAATTAAATTTGCTTTTGTGTGGTAGAGTTAGACAACAAGGCAAGGTCGACTGCCTCTGACTCGAATTTAACATTGCAACTGGAACAGCGGGTCTTGAAAATAGAGGGTGATACTGATGAAGATGATGAGGAAGAATAGACAGCCTTTCCCTTCACAGGACCAGGGCTAAGGCTCTCCCCTTGGGTCCATCCAGCAACAGGACCCATTGGGGCTTGAGCTCCTTGGTGCAACAGTTTCCCTCCATTTAGAGTAAAGCTCTTGCTACCAGCAGTATTGACACACAGCGTGCAAAGACCATATGTCAAACCATTAATGTCAAGTTTTACCAAGTCCTGCTTAGAGTGGAACTCTTTGAGACATGCAGCACACTTGACGACTTTCTGACTTTGACTGTGTTGAAATTCTGTGGCAGCTGAGTATGCAGTTGGTTGATTTGTAGATGCCGCTCCAGTCTTTTGCATGTGAAAGGTACCGTGGATCTTGAGTTCTAGAGTTGAGGTGACAGTCTGCATGCAGACCACACAGCGGAAGCCAGTCAAAGAATTGCGCAAATCTGGATGCATCTGACAATGCTCCAGGAAGTCTGCCTCACTCTGCAGAGGTAATTTGCAGATCCGACAGCTTCCAGTGTCCAGGCTTTTGCTGTGAGTGACCTTGTGTTCTGTCAGAGTAAGTAGGGAAGGGAAGCGCTCTCCACAAATGGGACACATGTAGTGTTTAACAGGTCCTAAGTGCGTTTGCATGTGCTCCCGAAGTCCTCCCTCCGAGAAGAATGTTCTAGAGCAGACGTTGCATTTGTGGTTTCCCTTCATCATTTCTGCCTTTCTTTTGTGGATAGCACTCTCTCCTGGTCGAATGTTATGGTCACGAAATTGGTGATTGGTTAGGAGGGACTCCATGGTATAGGATGCACCACAGATGTCACAGCTATACATGACCTCTGAGGTATCAAAGTCTTCTTCGCTGCCATCCCGACTGTTATGAGACTCCCCCGCTCCAGTGCCTCCGTGGCTGTTGGTCAGAAAGGCCTGTAAGTCTCCATCATCTTTGGCAACTGAATCACCGCTACCAGACATGGATCCATTGGTGTTGCAATTCTGGGTCTTTCCCTCAGACACACAGTGCTTTTCACAAAGGTGACGTTCAAGCAGATAAACAGCATGGAAGGCTTTACTGCAAAAGTGACAATTGTACTTCTTGCTATGGGTGGTAATATGACACTGCAGCTCTACTTCTGTACCAAAGGACTCACCACAAAAGATGCAACGGTGTGAACAACCCTGATTTTCAAGGTGACTATGTTTGACATGCATTTGAAGGTCAGCCTCATGCCTGAAATCCCAGTTGCAAGAAGTACATCGGTATACCTTTTTCTCATTACTGTGCTTCACTGCAAGATGGAGTTGAGTTGACACTTTAGAGTCAAACACTTCCTGGCAAAGAGTACAGCGAAAAAACACAAAGGTGTGCATATCCAGAAGGTGCTTCTGCAAGTCATCCACAGATGTGAATTGCTTGTCACAGCTTTCACAGATATAGTATGTGGACATGATGGTGAAATGAACAGTCACATGTTTCAGAAGAGACTCCTGGTTAGGAAAGTCATTGTTGCACTGTGGACAGGTTAGCTGTGGCACGATGCCATCAAGGTGGGTCTTCAGGTGTGTCTGGAAAAGGTCTAAGCTGGTGTACTTAGCACCACACTGGTTACAAATGAACTCACTTGAACATAAGGAAGTGCTGTTCTGTTTGAATAGTGAAGCCTGTTCTACAGAGACTGGAGATGATGGGCTGAGGACTCGCAGAGATCTTCTCCCATTGTTGATATAATTCAGAGCAAGAGGGATGTTCTTGTGGTTCTCCTTTATGTGCTTGTTAAGCTTCATGACACTGTTAAAAATGGGGGAGTTGGTACAGTAAGAGCAGGAGTAGATCTCCACAATGGGATCTTTTGGAGTGACCGCTAGAGGAGAATCAAACTGCACGCTTCCAGAGTCACAATGAGTCTGTCTGACATGTTCTTCTAGAGTGGCCTCAGTCAAAAATCCCATAAAGCACTTGGGGCAAAAGAATGCATTGCTTTCTTTGGTGACTGGATTAGGAAAGCCATGGGAGCATCGTATGTGCTCTTGCAGAGCATTAAGATCTCCAAGCACCTCTGGGCAGAAATTGCACTGCAACAGGTCATCTGACAGGTTAGCCAGTACATCTGCGGGATTCTTGGCATTGTGGATCTGTTTCAGGTGCTCGTTCAAATTACAAAGCGATGGAAGGATTTCCAGGCAAAATTGGCAAGTATGAGCCTGCTCTGGCTTGTCAACATGTTTGGTCTTAAGATGAATCTGCAGCACAGCAAGGCTTGAGAAAACTTGTTTGTTACAGTAAATGCAGCTGTATTCGATTTTTGGCTGTTTGGCAGATCGCCTATACATGTTATTATGAGTGGCCCTCTTTCTTCTCCCGTGTGTCTTGGGCACTGTAGAAGCGGCTTCCACCATGGTCGAACTGTCAACAGAAAGATTAGAGTCTGGTGTAGTGCTTGAAACAGAAGTATAACCTACGGGCAACACAGAGGGGCTATTGCTGGACTCTGGAAGTTGGTGGATTTCCATGTGAGTGTACAGCTCCTCTACAGTGGGGAATTGCTCAGAGCACACAGTGCATGTGTTAATCTTTCTATCTCTCCCATGCACCTGATCAATGTGGCTCAGAAGCGTTCCTTCATCACCAAATGGCTCGTGGCAGTAGATGCACTGTAGACCAGGTTCAAGACTCCCTCCTACAGGAGAAGAGCACTCTGGGTGGCTTTCTGCAATGTGCTTCTGCAGTTCCTCAGGCATGTTGAAACCCTCTTCACAGCGGCTGCATTTGCGCGTCTCTTTTAACCTCCACTCTTGAGGGGACCTTGTATTCGCTCCATCCTTCCCACGTTCATGCACCTGCATGTGTCCATGAAGCGAGTTGGTGGACAAGAACCCTCGGTGGCACACTGGGCATTTATGGGGCTTGTTGGCAGCGTGCGCTTTCATATGGATCTTTAGGTGGTCACTGCGTGAGAAAGCAGAGTCACAGTCTCCACAGTGGTACTTTTTGTCACCAGTGTGAAGCTTGATGTGTCGGTCACGGCTGCGCTTGTGCTTGAACAAGTGACTGCAGTATGTGCAGCTGAAGGGAAGTTTATCTCTGTGACTCTGCTCGTGGCACTTAAGGAAGCTCAGGCGACTGAAGGATTTTGCACAAAACTGGCATGGGTAGGGTAGGCCTGCACCTCCTTTATCCTCACCATATTCATAGTCATCGACATGGCCTGGAGAAGTGTGGTCTTTACTAGATGGCGACGATGTAGGCCAAGAGCAGGATGGGTCATCTTCTATATCAGTTCCATCTGTCAAAAACACCCAGAAGATAAGACAGAATGCATTACCTTTTTACTGTTTGGTGGTACACAGATACAACAAGATGTCTGTCTTCTAACAAACTGTATTTGTGAGACATCTCTCCGTTCATAATTAAATTTGCTTTTGTGTGGTAGAGTTAGACAACAAGGCAAGGTCGATTACACCATGTATTCAAATAATATTTGCTTGTGTACTAATAATTAATGCTACTCTAAGTATGCTAGTCTTTCAAACTATCACCCACCATGAGTTCCCACAGAAAATATATTTGATTTGCATGTCTGCCTTCATTTCTTTCAGTAAAAAATAGTCATTATGCATTAGTCATAGACTTGTTTTAGTATGTTGTATAATAAAGATTTTGAGATTAACTGATATTTCACTGACCCCTGCCTCACTGATGCTGTGATGTGTGTTTAAAGAAACAGCCGGTTGACCTGGGTGTCAATGTGGGTCAAAAAATATATATGTGCCCCATAAACTGCTCTTATTTGTATGCAATATTTCTCTAAATCTGATTTTAAACCATGTATATCTTGATGTGTCCTATAGAAATAAACATGACTTTAACACAAAGTTCAGTCATGTTTTTAATAATTTGCTCTGTGCATGAGATTTACTTGAATTACATACCCAACAGTGTTTTAAATCAAATTTAAAAGGTGACCAGCCACAGAAATTCCCTTGCTTCAATATAAAAAACGGCCAAGTTGGTCAACTAATCAACAAGTTGGCTGCTGGACGACAGTGAGGTCAACTATTCATGCATTCAAATAATATTTGCTTGTGTACAAATAATTAATGCTACTCTAAGTATGCTAGTCTTTCAAACTATCATCTACCATGAGTTCCCACAGAAAATATATTTGATTTGCATGTCTGCCTTCATTTCTTTCAGTAAAAAATAGTCATTATGCATTAGTCATAGACTTGTTTTAGTATGTTGTATAATAAAGATTTCGAGATTAACTGATACTTCACTGACCCCTGCTTCACTGAAGCTGTGATGTGTGTTTAAAGAAACAGCCAGTTGACCTGGGTGTCAATGTGGGTCAAAAAATATATATGTGCCCCATAAACTGCTCTTATTTGTATGCAATATTTCTCTAAATCTGATTTTAAACCATGTATATCTTGATGTGTCCTATAGAAATAAACATGACTTTAACACAAAGTTCAGTCATGTTTTTAATAATTTGCTCTGTGCATGAGATTTACTTGAATTACATACCCAACAGTGTTTTAAATCAAATTTAAAAGGTGACCAGCCACAGAAATTCCCTTGCTTCAATATAAAAAACGGCCAAGTTGGTCAACTAATCAACAAGTTGGCTGCTGGATGACAGTGAGGTCAACTATTAAGTTTGATATTTGTAGATTAAACTCAGTTAATATTTGCTAATAGTCAGCACTGGGAATGACTAAAACTAAACTGTTTATTCTCTTAATTATTTGCATTTAAAGCATCCACCACAGCCATCAATGCACCACTTCTGTACATATTCCCCACCTTCAACAATTCAACAACAACAATTTTCGACTTGAAAATGCCTGGTGTGAAAAAGTAAGTACACCCCATGAAATAAGTAGGTTAAAACACACACACACACACACACACACACATATTAAGACTTCATATTTTCTGGATTCTGGTGTTGTTTTGTTATAGTGTGGTATCCACTCCCAGGTGTCTGTCAGAACAGACAAATGACCACATTAAAATAGATGCAATATTAAAAAGCATCAAACTGTAGGATGCTGTGCACTCAGAATATTTCAGTTATGAACTTTTGCATGCGGATCAAGGATCACCCCATGAGTTCAAGCGTACACTCAACAGCATCATTCTGCATTCAAGACTGCATTTAGAAAGTTATAGTTTAACAAAATAAAAGGTCACTTCTATATTTTAGTTTACGATAAACACATCTGATCAGGGGCTGGAGGACATAATGTAACCTACAGTAATTATACAGGCCTTGCTTAAAACTAACTAGTTTTTCAGACAACCCATCAACCCAATTTTTGTCCATATCCCTTTAAATAATGGAGTGAATTGCCAACCAATAAACTGCCACGAGGCTTTGCTGGGAAAGAGAAAAACCAGGGGAAATGGCTAGGATTTATGAGACATCTTCAAGCAACCAACTCACATATTCATGTTTCTTCCATTGTTTTTACCTGCCACAGTAACATGCATTTATGAGCACCTAACCCTTGGCAGCATATCTTCAGGAAACAGATAACAATGCAGGTTGACCTGCTGTTCCTCCAAACACACAGCTTTACGCAGCTCAGCCCAAGATACACATTCTGACTAATTCTGCCTGTCCTATTGACTGCACAGTTTGTAACATTCTGAACTAAAATATGAACAATGCTCTGTTGCAATGTTAACACAGATGTAATACAATGAAATATATACAGTAAGTAGATGCACTCCAATTGTGATTTAACACTTTTCAAGATCCATGCCAGGCTTGTCTAGTGCTCACAGACAAGAGTGTGAACACTGACTGATGGGATCAGAGTCAGGGCAAAATGAAAGCCTGTTTTTGTCTCTCTTACTTGTCTTGTTTTTTCCTTCCTTCACTCAGACGAGAAATGTGCAGGACGCTAGCCGCCAGAGTAAATAAAAGCCAGAGTCTCATGGGTTCTCATCCCCGGCTCACAGCAGCGGCCTCTGTGTGCCTGCCAAAGGGGACGCTGGCCCTGAAAACCTACACCCTACAGCTGAGGGTCTGTCTTTGTTGGCTTGCCAAAGCCTTCCTGAGCATCACCGTCCAACATCCTGACACTTGTACAGAGGAAGACCTCCATCTTATGAGCTGACGTTGGTGCAGGATTTTTTTAAGCATACAGTGTATGTAGCTCTCAAAGCAGCCACTCTGCACAGCTGGAAACACTTTTGACATCAGATTTATGAGTGCTTGGAAATGGAATAATGCATTTTAATAGTTCAGAATAGCTGCTGTTGCTCCATCCAACAGTTAAGCAAAGGTGCTCCTCCATGATATCATGCTCATTTCCAGAGCTGATTGACAGTAAACAAACACTGAAAAAGCAAACCTGTAAAATGAATTATTAATATCTCATTATTATATTTTTAAGCATAACAGTCTAGAGTCATTTAAGGGCCCTAACTCTAATGCACTGGAGAAAAAAAAAGAAAAACAACAGTGTCATTTATTTAAAGTGAATTTTCATATGGCTTCTTTTTTTATTAGAACATAACAGAAAAGATGATGCATATACAGTAAAAAGACAATCGCAATGAACTTTAAGGTCTTTCAAAGACAATATTCTTGTATTTATTTATAGTAAATAAACTGAAACATTGACTAACAAAATGGTTTTAGTTTTGTCTTTACCTTTTTTTTACTTTTTATTTATCGAATATACTACTTTCATATTATAACTAATTTAGCTTTTGTTTATAGTGAAATTAAGTTGTAAAAATATATTATAAATATATTACGTTGACCTAAATTAAGTAACATTTTGGTTTGTGTTTAAAGAGAAAGATTGTTTTTTTTATAATAAATAATATTTTTATTTTTATCTTTGGAAACAAATATTTTAATTAATATCAAATAAAAAATTTACAGTAGAACCAAAAATTAAATTAAATATAATTTGAAACAAACTAATACATTTGTAACAAATTCAGTTCAGTTCAGTTGTAACAAGTTCAGTTTTTTTTCAGTGTATAATGCATAAAAACAAGGAATAATAATGGCTTCTATGTAGATGAACCATTATAACATACTTTTGGTAATTATTTATTGCTGGTAAACAACTAGGTAAAAAGATGTTGAATAATTACCAGATTGTCAAACATTTTCTTTCTGTTAAGATTTGGATGTTTAGCTAAAATGTACACTTCCTGAAGGCACAATACACTGCAGATTCCTAATATGCCCACTGGTGCGGTCACTCTAAAGACGGAAGCAGACAGGAAAAAATTACATGAAAACATGGTAAAAGGGAAATGTTATGAGCTGTGAGGGTGATGATGAAAAAAAATGGGGAAAAATGCATGTACTGTAGGCCATAATACAAGTGCAAAGTTTAAAATATTAATAATTTTACATTTAAATAAATTTACATTTTTAGGAGGATGGTTTATAGTCATGCCCCTTCTCTGTATCCCTCCTGGCATCATGCAAAAGTTATGTATGAGGTCTAGATTTTATTTAAATGCGCTCAAATCAGTAGCAATATCATTTGAAATGTAAGGTTTCAACATTCAAAAGGCTTCTTTAGCTGCATAATTCAGGAATATATTGATGCATTTCACATGAAAGCTCAGCTAAAGACCTCCTCCTCATATCTCCATCCATCATCATTTCTAGCAGGCTACGGCTAAGACTGTTTAATCTTGTTTAGGAGGCCAGTTACTGACTCTTCAGCTATGATTGCATCATGCTGACCTAAATTCCCGGACCGCTGAGGAAACCATCGTCTAACCAAACATCAGTATAAAAGAGTTTGTTCCCATACCAGTAAACCAGTAAAATAACTTAAATATATGTTCTACCAATTTTATGAGACCCGAATATGATTGCAGTGATGAAGGCTTTTGTCAATTGTAAAGTCTGTAACCTTTAAAATAAAATAAAATAAATAAATACACACACACACACACACACACACACATATATATATACACACACATACTTCAACTTCATTTATTTATATACCACATTTAAATGCAACTTTTTTGCCCAAAGTGCTTCACAAATTAAGGATAAAAATAAAATACACACACATAACTTACACACAAGTAAACAAACATTTATATAAGGTTCCCAAGTCAAACTTTCTCTACTTCGAAAAAAAAAAAAAAAATAATAATAATATTATTTACTTTATATATATATATATAAAGAATTATCATATATTTTTTATATATATATATATATATATTTATTATTATTATTATTATTATTATTTGAGACATGCATTTTAGTATACAATAGTAATA